TGGAAAGAAACGAAAGAAGGGATACTGGTCTGTAGTTGTTGACATCAGTGGGATCGAGTGTTGGTTTTTTGAGAAGGGGTGCAACTCTCGCTCTCTTGAAGACGGAAGGGACATGGCCAGCGGTCAAGGATGAGTTGATCAGCGAGGTGAGGTAGGGGAGAAGGTCACCGGAGATGGTCTGGAGAAGAGAGGAGGGGATGGGGTCAAGTGGGCAGGTTGTTGGGCGGCCTGCAGTCACAAGTCGCAGGATTTTATCTGGAGAGAGAGGGGAGAAAGAAGTCAAAGCATAGGGTAGGGCAGTGTGAGTAAGACCAGCAGTGTCATTAGACTTAACAAACGAGGATCGGATGTCGTCAACCTTCTTTTCAAAGTGGTTGACGAAGTCATCCACAGAGAGAGAGGAGGGGGGGGGGGGGGGGGGGGGGGGGAGGATTCAGCAGGGAGGAAAATGTGGCAAAGAGCTTCCTAGGGTTAGAGGCAGATGCTTGGAATTTAGAGTGGTAGAAAGTGGCCTTAGCAGCAGAAACAGATGAAGAAAATGTAGAGAGGAGGGAGTGAAAAGATGCCAGGTCGGCAGGGAGTTTAGTTTTCTTCCATTTCCGCTCCGCTGCCCGGAGCTCTGTTCTGTGAGCTCGCAATGAGTCATCAAGCCACGGAGCTGGAGGGGAGGACCGAGCCGGCCGGGAGGATAGGGGACACAGAGAGTCAAAGGATGCAGAAAGGGAGGAGAGGAGGGTTGAGGAGGCAGAATCAGGAGATTGGAGTGAGAAGGATTGAGCAGAGGGAAGAGATGATAGGATGGAAGAGGAGAGAGTAGTGGGAGAGAGAGAGCGAAGGTTGCGGCGGCGCATTACCATCTGTGTAGGGGCAGAGTGAGTAGTGTTGGAGGAGAGCGGGAGAGAAAAGGAAACAAAGTAGTGGTCGGAGACATGGAGGGGAGTTGCAGTGAGATTAGTAGAAGAGCAGCATCTAGTAAAGATGAGGTCGAGCGTATTGCCTGCCTTGTGAGTAGGGGGGGACGGTGAGAGGGTGAGGTCAAAAGAGGAGAGGAGTGGAAAGAAGGAGGCAGAGAGAAATGAGTCAAATGTGGACGTAGGGAGGTTGAAATCCCCCAAAACTGTGAGGGGTGAGCCATCCTCAGGAAAGGAACTTATCAAGGCGTCAAGCTCATTGATGAACTCTCCAAGGGGACCTGGAGGGCGATAGATGACAAGGATATTAAGCTTAAATGGGCTAGTGACTGTGACAGCATGGAATTCAAATGAGGAGATAGACAGATGGGTTAGGGGAAAAATTGAGAATGTCCACTTGGGAGAGATGAAGATTCCTGTGCCACCACCCCTCTGACCAGATGCTCTCGGGGTATGCGAGAACACATGGTCAGACGAGGAGAGAGCAGTAGGAGTAGCAGTGTTTTCAGTGGTATTCCATGTTTCCGTCAGCGCCAGGAAGTCGAGGGACTGGAGGTTAGCATAGGCTGGGATGAAGTCAGCTTTGTTGGCAGCAGAACGGCAGTTCCAGAGGCTGCCTGAGACCTGGAACTCCAGGTGTGGGGTGCGTGCAGGGACCAATAGAATGTTATATACTGTATATGGGGGATACAACAATCCCAGCTCTGCAGATTTTGCTGCGAAGAGACAGAATCATTAGATCATTTGTTTTGGTACTGTCCATATGTAGCTTGTTTTTGGTCGCAGGTTCAGGAATGGCTGAAGAATTGTAACATTTACCCGGAGCTAACTCTCCAAATAGCACTGCTGAGTGACTTAAAAAGTCATAGTCAATCGATCAATAATTATTTTATAATACTCTTAGCAAAAATGTTTATCTTTAATTTACAATCTGTAGAAACTATGAGAATAGAAAGGTTCAGATCTTTGAGAAACATCGCAGCACAGTTGAAAAATATATGGCAAATGGAAATCAAAACTGGATGGTGTTCAGAGATAGATGGGAGGGGTTGAGTGGAGTTGAAGGGTGGGGCTAAAAATAACAAGATAACTAATGTGAAATACAGTGCATTCGGAAAGTATTCAGACCCTTTACTTTTTCCACATTTTGTTACGTTACAGAGAAGGACCTTGGTCAGGGAGGTGACCAAGAACCCGATGGTCACTCTGATAGAGCTACAGAGTTCCTCTGTGGAGATGGGAGAACCTTCCAGAAGGACAAACATCTCTGTAGCACTCCACCAATCAGGCCTTTATGGTAGAGACGGAAGCCACTCCTCAGTAAAAGGCACATGACAGCCCGCTTGGAGTTTGCCAAAAGGCACCTAAAGGACTCTCAAACCATGAGAAACAATATTCTCTGGTCTTATGAAACCAAGATTGAACTCTTTGGCCTGAATGCCAAGCGTCACATCTGGTGGAAACCAGGCACCTTCCCTACTGTGAAGCATGGTGGTGGGGATGTTTTTCAGCGGTAGGGACTGGGAGACTAGTCAGGATCGAGGCAAAGATGAACGGTGCAAAGTACAGAGAGATCCTTGATGAAAACCTGCTCCAGAGCGCTCAGGACCTCAGACTCGGGCGAAGGTTCACCTTCCAACAGAACAACGACCCTAAGCACACAGCCAAGACAATGCAGGAGTGGCTTCGGGACAAGTCTCTGAATGTCCTTGAGTGGCCCAGCCAGAGCCCGAACTTGAACCCGATCGAACTTCTCTGGAGAGACCTGAAAATAGCTGTGAAGCGATGCTCCCCATCCAACCTGACAGAGCTTGAGAGGATCTGCAGAGAAGAACGGGAGAATCTCCCCAAACCAGGTGTGCCAGGCTTATAGCGTCATACCCAAGAAGACTCAAGGCTGTAATCGCTGCCAAAGGTGCTTCAACAAAGTACTGAGTAAAGTGTCTGAATACTTATGTAGATATGATATTTCAGTTTTTTATTTTTTATAAATTAGCAAAAATGTCTAAAAAACTGTTTTTGCTTTGTCATTATGGGGTATTGTGTGTAAATTGATTAGGGGAAAAAACGATTTAAGCAATTTTAGAATATATATCAACATCAACATTGCGAAAGCTTAGCTCTGGATGAGTAAACTGATATATACTGAACAAAAATATAAACACAACATGCAACAATTTCAAAGATTTTACTGAGCTACAGTTCATATAAGGAAATAAGTCAATTGAAATAAATTCATTAGGCCCTCATCTATGGATTTCACATGACTGGGCAGGGGTGCAGCCATGGGTGGGCCTTGGAGGGCATAGACCCACCCACTTGGCAGCCAGGCCCACCCACTGGGGAGACAGGCCCAGCCAATCAGAATGAGTTTTTCCCCACAAAAGGGCTTTATTACAGACAGAAATACTCCTCACCACCCCCACCCCCACTCAGACGATCCCGCAGGTGAAGTAGCCGGATGTGGAGGTCCTGGGCTGGCATGGTTACACGTGGTCTGCAGTTTTGAGGCCGGTTGGATGTACTGCCAAATTCTCTAAAACGACGTTGGAGGCAGCTTATGGTAGAGAAATGAACAGTCAATTCTCTGGCAACAGCTCTGGTGGACATTCCTGCAGTCAGCATGCCAATTGCACGCTCCCTCAAAACTTGAGACATCTGTGGCATTGTGTTGTGTGACAAAACTGCACATTTTAAAGTGGCCTTTTATTGTCCCCAGCACAAGGTGCACCTGTGTAATGATCATGCTGTTTAATCAGCTTCTTGATATGCCACACCTGTTAGGTGGATGGATTATCGTGGCAAAGGAGATATGCTCACTTACAGGGATGTGTATCAAATTTGTGCACAACATTTGATTAAAATGGAACATTTCTTGGATTATTTATTTCAGCTCATGAAACATGGGACCAACACTTTATACATGTTGCGTTTATATTTTTGTTCAGTATAGTTTTCTGGTCTCTGACACCAAAAGTCAGTAAACCACTTGCTAGTCATCAATAAAATGTGGTATGTTTGTAATTTGAGTAAAATACTCCTTCCATGGAGGTTTTCATATTGATTTGAACAAAACAAAAACAGCAATGCCTCTCCAATGGGCCTTAAACATGCTCTAAGGCACCTGTATGTATGTATTTTTACTATAAAGAGCCTAAGTGATGGCCATTCTGATAAACTGGTGAAAAAAATCTAAGTAATTGCAAAAGAGGACTCAAACCTATGATATGAATAATCAAGGACTTGGGAGTATAAGGTTCTATATACAAAATGATTGGTTTTGATCTCAGAACTGTTTTGTGACGTCTTCCTCTCATGACACAACAAGTACATCACCTGACATACAATAATGTTTTACTGACAACCCAGCATTGTGTGACTGGTTTGCAGATAGAACCTTATAGCACCAAGTTCAAAGGTGTTTGCGCAGATACAACTTTTTTCCTCGTAAATTGAGTTTTTCCCAAAACTGACATATCTCGTATGTGAAAGACCGAAAGAGAAACTCTATGTGAATAACTCATTTTTGACCAAAATGTCAGCTAGAACCTGTCTCGATGTGTCTGGTATGTGTTGTAATGTAGCGTTATTGTCTGGTAGGAAGCCTGACGACGTCTCATTAGTTGAGTTGGTGATATTAGGCCTGATCTTAATCCTTAATCCCTGTGTCTTCTCTTCAGGCTGCCTCTGGGACCAGTGGTTGACCAACTCACCAGATCAGGACTGAAGGGCGTCTTTGGTGGCCTCAGGGAGATAGAGAGCCACAAGGTTGTCATGACTTCAGGTGGTTCTCTGTCATCCTGCCCACTAGAGGAAAGCCCTCTTATTCCTCAAGCACTTGATGAAGATCTACAGCTGGTCCAGCGTGGCCCTCAGGTCGGCCCAGGTAGCCGGGGACGGTCCCATCACCAGCACCGTGGCCACGATCAGAGTTCTATGAGCAGCACGGCTCATCCCTGACTTTGAGAGTGTGGATCTGTGCTGCTCCTATAACACCCAGCACCTGATCGTGAGCTTCCACTCCCTGGACCAGCTGCACCCCCGAAGGAGACGAGAGGCCAGAGGAGTTTCAGCTGGATGACCTCCACAATGGCAAATAACATCTCGTGCCTGCTCCACGAACTCCCAAGCCTAGCGATCTCCTCACCACCACCCCAGAGCGACCACCCTCAGAGCGACATTGCCCTACGTCACCCATCACCATCACCAATCCAGCTCCTGCTGAAGCCCAGCCAGCCCTCTGAGCTGTGGAGGCCCAAAGGGAGTTGGTCCACTAGCCCCAGTGCTCCCTGGACACCATCACACCTCCTGCAAACTGTGAGGCCAGGGTCCATGACCATGGCAACCACTAACGCCTCACCATGGTTTTCTTCGTCCCTTCCTTTCTCCCTATTTCAGGGGTGGCAATTGACCCAGAGGAGGAAAAGCAAATCTCAGATGGTGAGTATCAATGTTGTTTTTTGCACTACTATTTAGAAAGCTATAGAGGAGAAAATTACTTACGATATATTCAATAGCTTGGGACTGTAGTGAACGGATGTACTGTATTTGAAGTGGGAATGGTGAACTGCATCGCATTTATCCAATGTGTCATGCACCTGTCAGGAGTTGACTGTATTCTCTAGTCTTGCTTGCCAGACTCATGGCGCTCCACACCCCAGTTGTGTGGGAGATACAGCAGGTGTTTCAAGCGACTAGGATTCTCTAACTACAGGCCTGTGTGCTGTGTGTTGTTTTTTCTCCTGGCAGAGGCCAAGAAGAAGAAGAAGAAGAAGAAGAAGAAGAAGAAGAAGAAGAAGAAGAAGAAGAAGAAGAAGAAGAAGAAGAAGAAGAAGAAGAAGAAGAAGAAGAAGAAGAAGAAGAAGAAGAAGAAGAAGAAGAAGAAGAAGAAGAAGAAGAAGATGATTTCCAGAGTTTCATCTCAAGGGTGTGGAAGACCCTTACGTCCTGCGCCCCCTCTGGCCACAGCAGGGACTGAACCAGCATGAATGTGAATGACTCATACACAAAGACACCAGTTGACCTCACAGGATCACTTGTCAGTGAGAGCAGCAGGGCTGCCGGCAGCAAACGTGTGGCAAGCTGGCATTTGCCCCATTACTTTTCAATCAGGTGTGGCAGCGCCCCACCGATTTTGATTTGGTTAAATAAAAAAATAAAAAATATTAAACGGAAAAGCATTGAAAACTAGGCTACTGTGTTTAAGACTTAGTTGTCAACTGGCGCACAATTAATCTGTGCTGCACATCGGGATACTGCAGGTTGTGGTCACGTTTCTACCAGCCTGGAAAGCATGCACAAAGGTAACGCGGAAGTCACACTGGGTTCACACTGGGTTCAAAGCCGAAAAAAGTGTCCCAGCCATAGAGGTATTATATTAACTAGACTAGAGGAAGAATAATGGGCGCCCACTCATTCCAATGGAGTGGGCTCACATAAGGGTGTCATCAGGCCGGGGTGTCGTCAAGCCAGGCACATCAGGTGAAGCTTGTGGTGTTGGGCCAAAATCCAAGCGGAGATGTCTGCCAGACACAGAAATAACAGTGATGAGAGACCATGTGAGGATGTGACAGAGTCAAGTGATTTTGTGTACAGAGAGAACCAAAGTGGACCTGGCACTTAGGCCTGTTAACTTGGACACCAGTAGTGAGGAGGTAAGGTGCAGATACTGACCCTTTCCATGTCACATGTTAGGAGCCAGCTACATGTCAGGTGCAGACCCTGAGAAGTATATAGTAATATAAATACACAGGTAGAACTTCTGTAAATCAGCTGGAGTTGCAGCAGGAGTAGTCTCTGCATCGTAACACCATCAGTAAGGCTCTGAACTTCACATAAACTTGACAAACCGCCACACAACATGGCAAACGTTGAAGCAAACTGAACACACCACTAGTGTACATCATTGGCGTCAGCTGATGGAGGCTGGAGGCTGGAGGCTGGAGCCAAAGAAAGTGCCTTCATTTTGAACTACTATTTGGACAAAATACTTAATCAGCCATTTTAGTGTGTATTGTCACAGAGTAGGCTAATAGTTTGTCTATCTGGTATTTCAGTTCTTGCCACTGTGGGCCATTCCCATGTAAAATGAGCATGGGTGATGGAGATTTATGCTTTTTACAGCTAATACACAATGCAGGTTTACAGTACCATCTAGTGGGAAGAAATAAAGCATGCATGGTACTGCAGGAAATATACCACATACTGCAAATGTCGTCAAATATAGGATTAATATACTCAGTGGTGATTTTAGCAAGTAAATCTTGGTGGGGCAAACTCAACATTTTTGGTTGTTGATGCATGCCAGCAAAGCCACTACACAACACAACACTAAACAATACATTAATTGAACTATAACAGTGACAAACAGTGCCCACAAACTGTTAGGGCCTACATAAAGCTGTCCCAATAGCAGAGCTTTCTTTTCAGCACCATGGAGTGAATCCTTACCACCGCTACACCTGGCTATCAGCGGAGCCTTGTCTGGCAGTGAAACAGTTCATTCAGCATCATTTACTGCCTTTAAAAAAAAACATAGGTTATATGGCTGATTTGTTTAAACAAATGTGGTTTCGAATGACAATTGAGATGTACAAACTATGGCATAAGGGAACGATGAGCAGATAAGAGGCAATCCGTAATTTCAATTAAGACATTAATGAGCGAGCTAAGATGGACATAGTCAATATAACTAATTGTTCAGCACTTTTAAAATGTACAGCGACAGAATTCAGAACATGGGCCGTTCTTACAATATTCTCCCTGTACATCAAGTAAGAACCGTAGGATAAATAAAGGGGGCATATAAGCAGACAATGAAAGCTCTCACAATATTCGATGATGACATTTCTCTAAAACAGGCTATAGGCTACATGTGTACCACCAAATCAGAACAGTAGGCTGTTATGAGGGGGAAAGGGACCAAATTATTAGGGTGAGGCACATGGGCTACTAACAGCTTACTACACAACATACACTTGTGGCGAATACATTTTTACATTTTTTACATTTTAGTCATTTAGCAGACGCTCTTATCCAGAGCGACTTACAGTTAGTGAGTGCATACATTATATTTTTTTCATACTGGCCCCCCTGTGGGAATCGAACCCACAACCCTGGCGTTGCAAACGCCATGCTCTACCAACTGAGCTACATCCCTGCCGGCCATTCCCTCCCCTACCCTGGACGACGCTGGGCCAATTGTGCACCGCCCCATGGGTCTCCCGGTCACGGCCGGCTACGACAGAGCCTGGATTCGAACCAGGATCTCTAGTGGCACAGCTAGCACTGCGATGCAGTGCCTTAGACCACTGCGCCACTCGGGAGATGCAACAGGTGTAGACCTTACCGTGAAATGCTTACTTACAAGCCCTTAACCAACAATTGCAGTTCAAGAAATAGAGTTAAGAAAATATTTACTAAATAAACTAAAGTAGAAAATAAAATAAAATAAAAAAAGTAACACAATAAAATAACAATAACAATAACGAGGCTATACCAAGTCAATGTGCGGGGGTACAGGTTAGCCGAGGTAATTTGTACATGTAGGTAGGGGTAAAGTGACTATTTATAGATAATAAACAGCGAGTAGCAGCAGTCTTATGGCTTGGCTTGGGGGTAGAAGCTGTTAAGGAGCCTTTTGGACCTAGACTTGGCGCTCCGGTACTGCTTGCCGTGCGGTAGCAGTGAGAACAGTCTATGACTGGGTGACTGGAGTCTTTGACCATTTTGGGGGCCTTCCTCTGACACCGCCTAGTATATAGGTCCTGGATGGCAGGAAGCTTGGCCCCAGTGATGTACTGGGCCATACGCACTACCCTCTGTAGCGCCTTATGGTTCAGATGCCGAGCATTTGCCATACCTGGTGGTGATGCAACCGGTCAGGATGCTCTCAATGGTGCGGCTGTATAGCTTTTTGAGGATCTGGGGACCAATGCCAAATCTTTTCAGTCTCCTGAGGGGGAAAATGAGTTGTCGTGCCCTCTTCATGACTGTCTTGGTGTGTTTGGACCATGATAGTTTGTTGGTGATGTGGACACCAAGGAACTTGAAATTCTCTAACTGCTCCACTACAGCCCCGTCGATCTTAATGGGGGCCTGTTTGGCCCTCCTTTTCCTGTAGTAGTCCATGATCAGCTCCTTTGTCTTGCTCACATTGAGGGAGAGGTTGTTGTCCTGGCACCACACTGCCAGGTCTCTGACCTCCTCCCTATAGGCTGTCTCATCGTTGTCTGTGTTCAGGCCTACCACTGTTGTGTCGTCAGCAAACTTAATGATGGTGTTGGAGTTGTGCTTGGCCACGCAGTCGTGGGTGAACATGTCCCAGGGTTCTTAGCTTAGTGATGAGCTTTGTGGGCACTATGGTGTTGAACACTGAGTTGTAGTATTACTTTCTTAGCTACAGTATACATGTCTCCCTGGCATATTACATATTATATCATTTATGGACTCACTTCAACAGGAAGGTGGCGCGGCAGTCCTTCTTGTGGGCAAACTTTGTCATCAAACTTTGTCATCAAAGTCTGGCATTCTCTGGATTTATAGTGCTGTCACGACAACTGGAAACTCAGAAAAAAACAAGTTTGAATCATGACGTCAGTGGTCTTCAGGTCGGAGCTCTAGAAAGAGGCCTGAGTTCCCAGTTGTCTTGAACTCACTGAAGTCTGAGATTTCCCAGTTCTGAGTTTCCAGGTGTTTTGAATGCGGCAGAAGTCATGCTGGATTGACAGCATGGCCAATGTTGAATGTTTATCCTTTTAAGCTTGGAAAAGAGACCATTAAACCTTGGACCACACGTCCACTCCACTGAATAGCAGGCTAGTGATTGCTTTGCAACGCTTGCAGTTAGCCACTGATTCCTTCCAAACCACTCATTGTTGAATTTGCGATTTCCAACTTGTTGTGTAATATTTATGTCCAATGGCCAATGAGCCCACTGAAGTAGGTTACGTTTTATCTATAATTTATTTTCATATGACAAGGATTGAAAATAATTTGCCAGTAGATTTTCGACTTGATTTATGATGATGACTGCTTGTTTAGCTTGCTAGCTAAGATGTTGAAAGTATGATGTTGATATGATCAGTCCAATCAAAGCTACAGTAGATATAATGTGATTTGACGTCATTTTATCTGTGGCCAATGACCTTGAGCCTTCTTGGATGGGCACTTCTAATGTAAATCTATGGCAGCACCCAAGGGGCTTGAATTTTTTTGCTCTCCCTGTAGATTTTGCGGTGACGTAGTGTCCCCATGAGTGACAGGACACTGAGCCAATCACGGCACAACTAGAGAACATTACCAACCCCTACGCTCTGTATTTTCCGCTGGCTGCCCCACCACCACAGAAAGCACTGAGCTAGGCTGAAACACCTGCATTTTGGAGATGCCTTAGTTCGTATGCAGCTTTATTAACTCAATGATTTTTATATTTCTTTTACATTGTTTGCAAACTGATATGTGACACGTATTAATGCCAAAATAACATGCAAAACAGGCAACAACAAAAAAAAAAATTGCCCCACCTGCCCTGAATGACGGGTCGCCACTGAATATACTGAAGAAATATATAAACGCAACATGTAAAGTGTTCGTCCCATGTTTCATGAGCTGAAATAAAAGATCCCAGAAATGTTCCATATGCACAAAAATATTATTTCTCTCAAATGTTGTGCACAAATTTGTTTACATCCCTGTTAGTGAGCATTTTTCCTTTGCCAAGATAATCCATCCACCTGACAGGTGTGGCATATCAAGAAGCTGATTAAACAGCATGATCATTACACAGATGCACCTTGTGCTGGGGACAATAAAAGGCCACTCTAAAATGTGCAGTTTCGTCAAAAAATGCATTGCCACAGTTGTCTCAAGTTGAGGGAGGATGCAATTGGCATGCTGACTACAGGAAGGTCCACCAGAGCTGTTTCCAGATAATGTCATGTTAATTTCTCTACCATAAGCCGCCTCCAACATAGTTTTAGAGAATTTAGGCAGTACCTCCAACCGGCCTCACAACCACAGACCACATGTAACCACGCCAGCCCAGGACCTTCACGTCCGGCTTCTTCACCAGCGGTATCATCTGAAACCAGCCACCCCGACAGCTGAAGAATTTCTGCACAAACTGTCAGAAACCATCTCAGGGAAGCTCATCTGCAAGCTGGTCATCCTCACCAGGGTCCTGACCTGACTGCAGTTCGGCAACTTAACCGACTTCTGTGGACAAATGCTCACATTCGATGGCCACTGGCACGCTGGAGAAGTGTGCTCTTGGGATGCTCTGCATCAACGTGTAAAACGGTGCTTCCAGTTCCCGCCAATTACCAGCAACTTTGCACAGCCATTGTAGAGGAGTGGGACAACATTCTACAGGCCACAATCAACAGCCTGATCAACTCTATGCGAAGGAGATGTGTCATGATGCATGAGGCAAATGGTGGTCACACCAGATACTGACTGTTTTTTTTATCCACTCCCCTACCTTAAAAAGAAAAAAGTATCTGCCACCAACAGATGCATATCTATATTCCCATTAATGTGAAATCCATAGAAATCCATAGAGGAAGGCCCTAAAAATTGTCAAAGACTCCAGCCACCCTAGTCATAGACTGTTCTCTCTGCTACCACACGGCAAGCGGTATCGGAGCACCAAGTCTAGGTCCGAAAGGCTTCTTAACAGCTTCTACCCCCAAGCCTGTGTAGCTCAGTTGGTGGAGCATGGTGCTTGCAATGCCAGGGTTGTGGGTTAGATTCCCACGGGGGACCAGTATGAAAATGTATGCACTCACTAATTGTAAGTCGCTCTGGATAAGAGCGTCTGCTAAATGACTAAAATGTAAAAATGTAAGCCATAAGACTCCTGAACAGCTAATCATGGCTACCCGGACTATTTGCGCTGCTGCTGCTGCTACTCTGTTTATTATCTATGCATAGTCACTTTAACTCTACCCACATGTACATATTACCTCAATTACCTCGACTAACCGGTGCCCCCACACATTGACTCTGTACAGGTACCCCGTGTATATAGCCTCCCTGCTGTTATTTTATTTTACTGCTGCTCTTCAATTATTAATTTAATTTTTTACTTAACACTTTTTTTTCCTTCTTAAAACTGCATTGTTGGATAAGGGCTTGTTTGGCGCATGTGGCAAATAACATTTGATTTGATTTGATTAGGGCATAATTAATTTATTTCAATTGACTGATTTCCTTATATGAACTGTAACTCAGTAAAATCGTGGAAATTGTTGCATTCATATTTTTGTTCAGTGTCCATAGCTAAATAAATAACAGCAACAAGATACAACAACTGCTAATCCCATCTAATTTAGCACTTTTAAGACACTTATAAAAGTGCAATACAATTTACAGCTGTTATTTGAATGCCATTTAGTTTTTCCAAACCTTTCAAAGCCATGGGCTGTATGTTCAAAACACATAACAACGAGGACTGCACTGCTTATGGATAACAATTAGTCCTTGATTGGTGAAGCGACGTACCGTTTTTAATAGGCCTGCACACCAATCAAAAGCAACTAATATTGGCGCGTCTTCTTACTACTCCGCACTAGGAAACTCGGATATTTTCGACTTGCTAACTGGTTGTAGTTATACACATGCCGCGTTCAACAAAACATCAAGTGGAAAATTCAGAGTTTCCTAGTTCCGAATAGAAGATGAACGCGGCATTTGTTGCAGAAATTGTGCGAATCCTCCCATTTGATGACGTCAGATTCGGCTTCGACAAGCTGGTGGTGCCTGAAGAAAAGATGGCGGATCATGAGGAGCAGTTATCTGATGAGGAGAAGGTAAGATGTCGTTTTTTTCATCTCTTGATTGGATTGGAGGACATATGATATCATGTAGGTATGTGTATGCGTTTATTTTAAAAATATGAATCTACTGTGCATAAAAGCTGGATAAACAGACCGCGATTTTCGCTCTGCTAGTCTATATTTTTAGCTCGGCAGCCTCTGCCCAACTTCCGCTCCTTTGCGAATCTCAAATGGAGACTCCTTGTACGGTCCTAACTCTGAAATAGGAACTATGCAGCATAAAACAAAAAAACCAACGCTAACCTCTCACCTTCCTAATCGTGAACCTTGTAACCAACGCCGAGCTTTCATTTGTTTCTGTATCGCTTTGTGTGATCATGTCTTCAACTTCTCACGAATGAGCAGCTAACATTTAAGCTAGTCACCACCTCGATCTCTACACGCCATGTTAGCGTTCTGTCTTTTTTTGTTGTTGCATGATATATACTGATCGTGTGCAATTTACTCATGTTTGTGTGTGACAGATATGACTGTAGTGTTCAATCTCAGATTTAAATATAACTAAGCCAAACTGGTTAGCATGATAGCATTGCCACTAGAAGGCTAGCTAAGCTGACATGACAACAGTAGCGCGGGTTGGCTGTATATTCTAATTTCCTTAAAAGGAATAGCAGTAAATTAACCAACGCACTGCACAAGAAATTACTTCAGATCAATGCTCAACATTATTCAGATTCAACTAGTTTGTCCACAACATCTTAACGTCAGAAGTGTATTAGGATTTTGACAGGGCATCGTCCAACGGGTGTGGCTCCCTCTTCCCCATCAGTCACAGACATTAGTTAATCATGCTAGCGCGTTAATTAATGTGAGGACTGAGCCACCATATGTCGCCGTGATGTAATATAACATTTCCAGTACTGTCAGGTTTACCCCCACACCTGACCCAGTAAACCACAAGTTTAAGTCTAGGTGGCTTCACTCATGATATCCCCACACATATTTTAGCTAGCTAACGTTAGCTACAGTGCATCACTGTTGTCAGGTAGTACGAATACAATACAAGTAATGCTATTTAGACCATGTATTTTGCGTTAGTCTTCTCATGCTAGGGAAACTTTCAGCAGCCAACCATCTGTTCTAGTGTCTCAAATGAATTTATCTAAAGACGTGCCTTCAGAAAGTATTCATACCCCTTGACTTATTCCACATTTTGTTGTTATAGCCTGAATTGAAAATGGGTAAATAGATTTTCTTTCTCACCCATCTACAAACAATACCCCATAATGACAAAGTGAAAACATGTTTTTCGAAATTTATGGAAAATGAACTACATTAATATCTAATTTACATATGTTTCACACCCCTGAGTCAATACTTTTGTAGAAGGACCTTTGGCAGTGATTAAAGCTGTGAGTCTTTTTTTTAAATGTGTCAAATTGGTTGTTGATCATTGCTAGACAATAATTTAATGTCTTAACATAGATTTTCAAGTAGGTTTAAGTCAAAACTGTAACTCGGCCACTCACGAACATTCACTGTCATCTTGATAAGCAACTCCAGTGTAGATTTGGCCTTGTTTTAGGTTATTTTCCTGCTGAAAGGTGAATTCATCTCCCAGTGTCTTGTGGAAAGCAGACTGAACCAGGTTTTCCTCTGAATTCTGCCTGTCCTTAGCTCCATTCCGTGTCTCTTTTATCCTGAAAAACTCCCCAGTCCTTAAAGATTACAAGGATACCCATAACATGATGCAGCCACCACTATCCTTGAAAATATGGAGAGTGATACTCCAAACATAACACTTTGTATTTAGAACAAGAAGGACACATTTTTTTGCAGTATTACTTTAGAGCCTTGATGCAAACAGGATGCATGTTTTGGAGTATTTGAATTCTGTACAGGCTTCCTTCTTTTCACTCTGTCAATTAGGTTAATGTTGTGGAGTAACTATGTTGATCCATCCTCAGTTTTCTCCTATCACAGCCATTCAACTCTAACTGTTTAAAAGTCACCATTGGCCTCCTAGTGAAATCCCTGAGTGGTTTCCTTCCTCTCCGGCAACTGAGTTATGAAAGACACCTGTATCTTTGTAGTGACTGGGTGTATTGATACACCATCCAAAGTGTAATTAATAGCTTCACCATGCTCAAAGGGATATTCAATATCTGCTTTATTTTAATTTTTACCCATCTACCAATAGGTGCCCTTCTTTGCGAGGCATTGGAAAACCTCCCTGGTATTTGTGGTTGAATCTGTGTTTTAAATTCACTGCTTGACTGAGGGACCTTAAAGGTATGTTTGTTGATCATTGCTAGACAATAATTTAATGTCTTAACATAGATTATTGAGGAAGTCATTCATGAGATGAGGAAGTCATTCATGTTAAACACTATTATTGCACACAGGGTCCATGCAACTTATGTGACTTGTTAAGCACATTTTTTATTTAGGCTTGCCATAACAAAGGGGATGAATACTTATTGACTCAAGACATTTCTGCTTTAAAAAAATACATTTTCAGTAAAAATGTGTAAAAATCGAATTCCACTTTGACATTTATGGGGTATTGTGTATAGACCAGTGACCAAAAAAATATAAATGTAATCCATTTAAATTCAGGCTGTAATGCAACAATGTGGAAAAAGTCAAGGTGTGTGAATACTTTCTAGAGGGACTGTATCTGAGGAGCTAATGAGATGTTTCTTTAATGTGTTTTGACACTTGCCTTGTCTCGTTATCAAGCATCCCTTGACAGCCAGCTAGCTGTCAGGAAACCGCTGCCACGGGTGTAATGCAAAAGTCATAAACAAGTCCCTTTTTTAAATAACCAGATTGACAAACAAGTTATTTGTGAGACCTTATATTTGCTGCTAGGGACTGATCTTTATCTCTCGGCGGTGGGGGATGACTTTTTCAGCTTTCGGCTTTCCTAACCATTAACATCACTGTGATATTTAGGGAAGACAAAGTTGCCCCTCTGGGTTTTAGTGAATATTTGAACAAACAGAATGTCTTAATCTTTAAATGATTTAGGAAGGAAGAGTCAACGCCGTAGTCGCCAAGCCATTTTTCCTTCAAGTGCCCTTGCAGTGCAGGCCTGTCAGCTTCCCTGTTACGGCAGAGACGAGCATCAGAGGAGATTAGCATTAGTCTGTTTATGCTCCACTTGAGAGATGCTACTGAATGTATTGTATCCTACCGCTGTAGCTTAGCACTGCCAGATGCGTAGTTGCGTACATGTCATCTTTTAAAATGCCAGTCTGTGTTGATGTACCCAAGTGAGGGTTGAACTTGATCAAAGTGACAGAGCGTACAATGGAAAAGCCATAGCGAGAGACAATGCAGTGGTTCGTCTTTCAGAGCCCAGTGATTGCAACAGTATGGCCTAGCCTAATGGCATAGAAGGCTTTCAGGCGTAGCCTACTGAATGTAGTAGGCCTATGTATGCCTAGTTCATTGAGTGGGCTGGAGAAGATTGCCTATAGATGGGTTCATATGGGAAAGTTAAGTGCAGCCTCACAGAGCCAGTAGCAATCAAGCTTGTAAACCACAGATATAACTACCAAAGCTCAGCCCCAAGGCTGTCTGTCTGGTGTCGTCCTCCCACACCTACTTGACTACTCTCACTGTCTGCAAGTGTCTACTCCACCTTAACTTTTAGTGACCTATTTTAAGCCTCAGCCATTTAACATGGCTTTCTTTTGAAACTAAGAACAATGTGTTTGGGTGTTAGTCATTTAGCCTAAGTAATCTTATACTTTTTACTGGAGATTGTTGTCAAGTAGCCTACTCTAATAAACAAAGAATGGTTATCATGGCTGGACTTATAGCCACACATCATGATTTCTGTAGGATTGGTCTATTTCTCCTGTGTGTTTTTGTGAAGAATGCTGGGCCTAAGGAACACTACTTGTCTGTGCGTGTCTTCCCTGTTGTCATAGATTTGGATGTACAGGAGAAACAACCCCAGTGGTGCTATTCAGTCTGCAAACAGCTCCACATATAGCATGGGCCTGCTACAGTATGACTCTGGGGTGGAAGTACTCAAGATCTGTTCATTCCAGTCTTCACAATCAATTTGCTGTGCTGCCTCTGGATTTCTTATCTTGGCAGCAGGGTGCTTTAGCCACCCAGCCCAAAGCAACATTCAGGGCTGCAGTGCAAACAGTAGGGCCCTATAAAATCTGCTGTTAGCGATAATGCTAATGATAACTGTCTGCTGGTAGATAACTGTCTGCTCAATTAAATGTTAACTACAATGTAGCCTATGCCTACCTGGCAGAATGATATCATGATTATTTGCATCAATCCAGTGGCCATTTCTTTTGAAAACTCTGCAATCACATGGGTGCTATAGAAACACCGCTAACCAAACAACGGTCTCTGGCTGGTGCGTACTGGCATTAAAGGGTAACTACAACCCAATTTCAACATTTCCTAGATTTTTCCCAGACCTCAAGTGGTCTCCTGTTGTGGTTTAAGTTTTTTCTTTTAAGTGTGATTTTTCTTATAGAGCGAAAACCAGAAAAACACAATGGAAATTTGGGGAAAAATTAAACAGAATCAGGCAAAAAATGTAACATTTTATAGGGCCCTAAAACAGCAATAACATTCAGTTGAAACAAGAATGAACTAGCCTAAGTCTGAATTTGTTTAGGTGTCGGGCAGTAGTATTGGTAAGGGAAACACTAATTGCATTTGTCAAACTAACCGTAACAAGACCAAGGGCTAGAATGCCACTGGTCTCAAGTTGTGTCCAAAGCTGAAGAATTGTGTAAGAATGACAGAGATTATATACAGCTCAAAGGTAGACATTTTGGTGTTTGTGTCCTTTGCCCCATTTATTTATTTTCTGGGATTAGGGATGGTGCTCTAGAGCTGTGTGTTTTTTGGAATAACAGATGCTCCTGGGAGTGTGAATGTGGGGAAACCGAAACACAACATCACTGGAGGACAGAGAACACAGAGAGAACAGCTGGTGACTGTCTGCCCAAGAGCTTACAAAGACGAGGCTCCTGCAGGGGGTCTCTCTGTCTGTGTGGCTTTGTGAGTTTGTTCATACTGTGTGTGTGTGTGTGTGTTAGGCTATCGTGTAGACCGAAGTGTGTTTTATAAGATTATAGCGAGTAGGGTGGGTGGCTAATTCCATAGCCAAATGTGAAACTAAAAGATTGTCCTTTGTTGGGAGTTGATTGAAGTGTCAAAAACAAAATCCTCCTCAGTGCTGGTCTGTTCTCAGCGTTCCTGTGAAATGACCTCCGTGTGTTTGCCTGCCCGCCTGGGAGTGGGTGTGATCCAAACCTAGCGCCACAAGATCAAGTACTTTATTCTGTGGACACGACAGCTCCAGCTCTCACACCAAACAGCCAGTTAGTCAGAGGCAGAGCAGCATCTCTAATGAAGGGCATGGTAAAGATATAAAGGTTGCCACCATCCATGTTTGTCTAAATACAATCCGTTGGGTGGTGTAATAGTGTAGTTATTCAGATTATCTTGATGAATGATTTTTGTCTCTGACGCCAAGTGATTCTCATCTTAAACGTCGACTACTAGATTGTCCAGCTGCAGTCATATGAGGCATTAGGTCTTTACTAAACATACTAAGTATCCAAGTAATGGTTGATCCTTTCCTCACGTCTCCTTTCTACTGATGTTACTGCAAGGTAGACGGTAGCACTCAATGAAACACAACCTATTCACTTACCCTTTAGCTTTGAATAATATGATCATTAGCTGTCAAATTAAAGCGAGTGTCTGAAGTCTGAATTTCCTTCAGCGCCTTTGTCTCAGGCTAGCCCTACAGAGATGACACCAGTGCTCCCCTTGCCCCAGGCTACCTCTGTCACTGTCGAGTCAGCTGGCTAACTTCTAGCCTTCCTGCCAGCGTGCCTCCCTCTCTCTTTAGTCTCACCTTGATCTTCACCATGGCGAGGTGCAAAAATACCCTCAAAGCAATCTGGTGGCGATCACTGCATGCCTCTCACACCACTTCTCACTTCAGTAAATCAGTTTCAATTCAATAAAGTTGTGATTGAATGTAGAGGAAGGAGGATCACGTTTCAGAACAGTTAGTGTGTGTCTGCTCTGTCTGACCAAAGCTCTCCACGTGCTGAAGAATACCTGCATGGTCTCCTGTCATGACCCACCCACACACACACTCTGAACAGATGTGTCACTCAGTTAAAGAATAAAGATGGCCAAGTGATTATGATATTATTATTGGCTTGGAAAAGGGCCAGTGATTTGCACTGAATTTATATATTCATTTATTGAGCCCTTGGTCAGGTAGTTTTTGTAAAAGAGAATATGTTGTCTTTAAAACTAGAGTTAGGCCTACCCTTATTGGACCCGATCATAGCGTTACCCTACCGCTGCACTGGGTTAACTTCTATATAGTGACACTAACACAACACGTCTGTTGGGCGTGAATAAAAGGCATGATGCACTTAATTAGGACTCTATTGGTAGAGCACGGCGCTTGTAACGCCAAGGTAGTGGGTTCGATCCCTGGGACCAGCTGACTTCCCATACAAAAAAAAAATGTATGCACGCATGACTGTAAGTCGCTTTGGATAAAAGCGTCTGCTAAATGGCATATTATATATTATATAAGAGGGAGCAGTGAAATAAAATGGCACAGCATCTCACAATGCTAGGCTTATAAGAGCAGAGTTGAGTGTAAATGTAGCTGAGGAACGCTCCACTCTGTTCTCTTATATCGAGGCGGAGTTGAGTATTGATAACTGGTCGCGCGATTTGCTAGCGACAACATTGAGTCACCATCAGTTGATACTGGTAAAATGTTCAATTCTGAAAACTCTGACCTATGCTTGTCCTGTACAACTGTGGTCCTTCCGCGGGGTGCTGAAATTCATACTTTTTATTGAATACAACCACCGACTTTTCCTCATTTGTGTTGCTCAACTCGGCGTGAATGCGCTTGTGCCAATTGAATCTCAGTTTACGTAGTACATCAAGGCCGCTACGTCTCCAGTTGAGCAACACCAATTAGGTGTATTAAAAGTATGAATTTCAGCACCCAGCGGAAGGACCGCAGTTGTACAGGACAAGCATAGGTACAGGTAAGCGTTTTCAGAATTGAACATTTTACCAGTATCGACTGGTGGTGACTCAATGTTGTCGCTAGCAAATCGCACTGCCAGTTATCAGTACTGCCAGTTATCAACTCTGCCTCGCTATAAGAGAACGGATTTGAGCGTTCCTCAACTAGTGTAAACGAAGCATAGCAGATAACACTGCAGCGCCACTATGGGGCTTTCAAGGAAAGTTTATTTACATTGCTCTGAGGTATAATAAGGGAGGCCTGATCCAAATGGCTCCTCCGTAGGGATTTTAGCAATGAACACTTTTTCCCAGAGCAAGACCAGCAGCAACGAAGACACACACACACGCAAGAATCCCAGAGCACCTCTCTTGCTCTCACCATATCATCACTCATTAGTGAGAATCAATCTGCAGCTGCGCTGAGCTCCAAAGCTCTCATACACACCACTAATAAGGGCCCAAGGGAGAGACACACACCACCTCCTCCCCCCTCACTTTCCCAGCCTGTCAGGCCAGGGGGGGTGGGGAACAGGGACGATGGACTAGCCAAGCCACATGCCAAGCCCTACCCTGTCAGAGAGAGGGAGGGGTGCACTTCACTACTAGGCTCCTCAGCACATTTTCATGCCCTTATATGGTCATGAGCCACCAGGGGAGGGAGGGGCTACCCGCCCCGCGCTGTCAGTTTCACATGTGACCTCCAAACAGGAAATGTTGTGGTACAGCAGTGGAGAAGTGGGGGACAGACAGTTATGTTATAAAGAGAGGACAACTCTGGGTGCACAGTGGCTGAGAATTGTGGTTGTAAACCCACTGTATTTGTCTATGCTTTGGGCTCAACAACAGAAAATACAGTTCTCGTCAGTCCTCATTAGATGCTTATCTGAGAGACTAACTTAAAAGCATGTGAATGGGGTCAACACTTCTTGAACCAGTGGTTGCTTGCATGTTTCGCACTTCCCCTTATTGACAAGGTGTTTAATAACTGATTAACATAATCACGATAAGAGGGGATAACCCTCCTACTGAAACCAAGTCAAGTCAAACCAAAGCCAAATGACCACAGATGGATAAAAACCTGATATCTCTATCATTGCAATATTACAAATAAATTACTTTATACAACAAACAGTTTGTTTTAACCTCGGAAATCATTGCACACGCTATGGAACAGCAGAGTATGTATAACATTTTTGTATGTTTATTTGATAGATCAGGATGAAAGAGGAGAGTGTGCTGAAATGGCAGTGGGCCGGATTTGAACCACCCACATTATTATTTTACCACAATGCTCCTCTGTTTCATAAACAAAACAATAACAAATAAGCTAGGGCGAACAGTGGCACTCTTTCCCCTTATGCGGATATCAGCTTTAAAGTGTCTGTCTTGCTGTTTTTGTAGGTACGCATAGCAGCAAACTTCGTCATCCACGCCCCACCGGGAGAGTTCAACGAAGTTTTCAATGGTGAGATTTTGTCAGTGTGTGGGGTTTATTTGTGAGTGTTTGTCTGTCTATGGACCAAAGTCAGGATACTAGTATGTGAGCACCACAGTTCTATCTGAAAGGGCATGAAGTCACAGCATCCTGATGAGTGTTTGTCACTTGAGCTGATATGACACAGATAAACCTTTGCATCTCGAAACCACACACTGCAGAACAGAGTTCTCTCTCAGTATCTCAACATTTCTGTCTCACACCCAAATGCGCTCTCTAGTCTTCTACTAGCCTGCTGCAAATAATTTCTAAGAGAGGGAGAGACTGAGTCCCCTGAGAGGGAGTCCTGTCTTTCTAATCAAAGTAGCTGGCCCATAATCCCCATCAGACCATGCACTATGCTACTAACATAACGCATTAATGACAGACATCACAAAGGCCAGACTGAGGATGTTTCTCAATATGCATACTACCGTACTCCACACACTCATGCTCAGAGTGCATTCTCCGAGGACGTTCTCTTGAGTACGTTCTTGTGAGGACGAGAGTGTGGAGAACACATAAAACATTACATTTGAGAAAGCACTTGCACTCCGCATACACAAACCAAACGTTTTACTTTATTTATTTTTTTATTTTTTATTAATTTTTTGTCATTTAGCAGACGCTCTTATCCAGAGCAACTTACAGGAGCAATTAGGGTTAAGTGCCTTGCTCAAGGGCACATCAACAGATTTTTCACCTAGTCGGCTTGGGGATTAGAACCAGCGACCTTTCGGTTACTGGCACAACGCTCTTACCCACTAAGCTACCTGCCGCGACCTACTTCATAATTATCAGCTAGATATATGTGAATCGTAATAATCTAGCTAGCCAGCGAGTTAAACAGGCAAAAATGACCTAAAACTAATTTTATGCAAGGTAGATGTACATTTTTGGTGGGTAGTTACCAATTGTTTGTGGCTATCTGGCTACCTAACAGTAGTAGCTAGCCAGTAAACCCTATTGACTTATGGGCTTGCGATCAGGTAAACATGGCAAAATTAACACCATGTATTTATTAAAGTATCAAGATAAAATATTGTAGTCAGGCAACATATGAGATGTGAATAGGCAACATTTCATTCCAAAGTCAGTGTATTTTCACTCGCTTTAGCTCCCAAAAAAAAGAATATGTGCGTAATTGTTTTACGTGGTTGCATCATATTTCTTAGCATACTTTCGGTTGAAGCTTGCATCGATGTATGCTTCAAAATATGTAAAAACAGAATACGCATTCAAGAAGTGCCCTCCGTGCTCCGTTTCGCATACTTTGATATGGACTCATACTCCGACCATCCCGTGCTCCGAGCACGGTAGTATGCATTTTGAGACCGGACAGGGACAAAGACCCAGGGACTATTTAGCACATTGACACACAGTAAAACACTGCCTCCCAGTTAAAGTGGTGACTTAGAAGTGGGGGCTTAAAGAGACACTATTTAGTGGGGGGGGATTCCGAGGGCTATGCGTGTGTACTCCTGCCCCTGTCTGTGATTAGCTTTGTGACCTCGGAGTGCCTCCTTATCGCAGCCCCACACACACACACACACACACACACACACACTGTGTCACTGCTTCCCCTTTCATTTATTTTGATTTCACAGCCCTTTACAGTGTGTCAACTTGCCATGGCTGGTTTAGCTTCATCCTAGGGCTCTCAATTCAATTTCAATTTAAGGGGCTTTATTGGCATGGGAAACATGTTTACATTGCCAATGCAAGTGAAATAAACAAGGGAAATAAACAGTCAAAAATGAACAGTAAACATTACACTCAAGAATTATAGACATTTCAAATGTTATTATTGTCTATGTACAGTGTTGCAACAATGTGCAAATAGTTAATGTATGAAAGGGAAAATAAATAAACTGATAAATATAGATTGTATTTACAATGGTGTTTGTGCTCCACTGGTTGCCCTTCTCTCTCTGTGTGTCTGTGATGAAAGTGTAATCCCCATGCTAGCACTGTGACTGGAATGTGTATGTATAATGGAGAGGAATGTGATTTGATGTGAATCCTCCTGTGTGTCTGTGTGTGTGTCTGTGTGCTGTAGGTTTCTGAGCTCTGACGTGTGGTTCTGTACTTCCCACAGATGTACGATTGCTGCTCAACAATGACAATTTGCTCAGGGAAGGTGCAGCACAGTAAGTAATGAAATATAGACCAGTGGTCTGCTCACGTCATAAACTATCCAACAGAATGAGTATATTATTAACCAACTGAGAAGATGAGACCTTTGTTTCTCCAGGAAATAATTGACTATTGTACCTGTTTCTGTCTGTTTCTTTAGTGCTTTTGCACAGTACAACGTGGACCAGTTTACACCGGTGAAAATAGAGAAATATGAAGAACAGGTACGCTAAACACCATGACTTATAGGAAATGAATACAGCGAAACAAGACATGCATGTATTTCAACTATCCACAGCCCTTATAGAGTCAAAGCCTATGGATACTAGTGACTCCTGACCTGGTATCATCAGAAACAAACCGCTATAGGGATAAACAGCGCTAGTCATGGGTTCTAAGAATAACTACAAAAATGAATGAAGCCTAGCATCTTCAGACCTGCCTTAGGGATCATGTCTAATTGAATGGACGGAATAATATAAGCCTTGTTGCATATTGATTGTATTTTTCCTATGTTTTATACACAAACAATAATTCCTCTTCTAGTACTATGGTGGTACTATTCCAGTTCAGTGTGGTTGTGATGTTGCCTAGGTAACACAGTGATACATCAATAAATGTTCAGGTTAGCACACACTAGAATGAGTGTCAGGGATGGTCACACCTCTTTTCCTCTTTCCCTCCCTTTCTCCCCTTTTTGTCTCCCTCTTCTTGCCTTCCTACGGATCCTCTCTCTCTGTCTCTCTCTGTCTCTCTCTGTCTCTCTCTGTCTCTCTCTGTCTCTCTCTGTGTCTCTCTGTCTGTCTCTGTCTGTCTGTCTGTCTGTCGCTCTGTCTGTCTGTCTTCGCTCTGCTGTCTGTCTGTTCTGTCGCTCTCTGTCTTCTGTTCTGTCGCTCTCTGTCTGTCTGTCTGTCGCTGCTCTGTCTGTCGTGTGGTCGCTCTCTGGTCTGTCTGGCTGTCGCTCCTGTCTTGTCTGTCTGTCGCTCCTGTCTGTCGTGTCTGTCCCTCTCTGTCTGTCTGTCTGTCGCTCCTCTCTCTGTCTGTCTGTCGTCTCTCTCTCTGTCTGTCTTCGCTCTTCTCTCTGTCTGTCTGTCTCTGCTCTCTCTGTCTGTCTCTCTCTCTGTCTGTCTCGTCTCTCTCTCTGTCTGTCGCTCCGCTCTCGTGTCGTCTGTCGTCTCTCTGTCGCTCCTCTGTCTGTCTCTCTGTCGTCTGTCTCTCTCTGTCTCGTCTCTCGCTCTGCTGTCTCTGTCTCTCTCTCGCTCTGTCTCGCTCCTCTCTCTGTCTCGCTCTCTCTCTGTCTCGCTCTCTCTCTCTGTCTCGCTCTCTCTATGTCTCGATTCGCTCTCACTCTCTCTGTCTCGCTCTCGATCTCTCTGGTCTCGCTCTCACTCTCTTGTCTCGCTCCTCTATTCTCTCTCTGTTCGCTCTCTCTGTATCGTCTCTTCTCTCTCTGTCTCGTCTCCTCTCTCTCTCTTCTAGCTCTCTTCTCTGCTCTCTGCTCTCTATATCTAGGTCTTAATCACAGAGCATGGAGACTTGGGCAATGGGCGGGTCCTGGACCCTAAAAACAAGATCTCCTTTAAGTTTGACCACCTGAGGAAGGAAGCTAGTGACCCGCGGCCCCACGATGTGGATGGAGCCATGGAGGGCTGGAGGAGTGCTGTGGATGGTGCTGTCCGGGCCTACGTCAAGGAGCACTACCCCAGTGGAGTCTGCACCGTACGTCTGGGCTGCATAACACCATCTCCTTCCTGATCCTGTGCTGTTGAATTTGTCATTTGATCATGTAAAATGCGAATTTGATAACTGAGTTCACTGGAAATGTGTCAAATCTCACCTTAGATTTACGGCAAAACCATAGACGGACATCAAACCATCATCGTGTGTATCGAGTGTCATCAGTTTCAACCAAAAAACTTCTGGTATGTATGGATTTTAGAATCAAAGATGCCAGATTAATTAAGTATGTTTGTGGTTTTAGATTTCTAATCATGTAAATGGCTTTAAACTCTCTCCAGGCAGAATAAAAAAATGTTTAGCCTATAAACTTTCTATTGTCTGGTTTACACGCTAAACACTTCAAACACCATCTTAGCTTGCTTTGTTCGGTACTTGGCTAACCAGTGCCTGTTGGTTTAGAGAGTGTTGGCCTCCCATTACCTTGTTGAGCCAGCCCTGATCAGGTTAATATAATTGAATAAGGGCCGTGCCAATCCTCTTTGCAGTGGGTTTTACTGAGCTTAGGGCTCCCTGAGTGTAATGATCTTACAGCTTCTGTACAAGATCTGATACCTCTTAGGAAAGACTCTGCTGTGTAGTGGAGAGAGGGGGATTGAGAGACAACACTCAACACAGACCCACTTTGAGAGCTTGTAGATGTACTAAATACTTAATTTCTTCTCTCTTTGTAAAGGAACGGACGTTGGAGGTCAGAGTGGAAATTCACAATCGGCTCCTCCACCACTCAAGTGGCTGGCATCATGAAAATCCAGGTGTGTGTGTGTGTGGGCATGATTGCGTGTAAGGCAATTGAGTTCCAGACAATCGCACACTAATCACACGCTTCTCTCTGTCTGGTTGTAGGTTCATTACTATGAAGACGGCAACGTTCAGCTGGTCAGCCACAAAGAGGTCCAGGAGTCGATGTCCATTTCTGTGAGTACATCACTAAACATACATGTGGAAAAACACCCATTAAAACATGTTACGTTAGTATGTATGTACAGTACCAGTCAAAAGTTTGGACACATCTACTCATTCAAGGGCTTTTTTTTTTTTTTTTTTTTTACTGTTTTCTACATTGTAGAATAATATTAAAGACATCAAAACTATGAAATAACACATGGAATCATGTAGTAACCAAAAAAGTGTTAAACAAATCAAAATAGATTTTAGATTCTTCAAAGTAGCCTTGATGACAGCTTTGCACACTCTTAACCAGCTTCACCTGTAATGCTTTTCCAACAGTCTTGAAGGAGTTCCCAGATATGCTGAGCACTTGTTGGCTGCATTTTTTTGTGTGTATTTTACACCCTTTTTCTCCCCAAATTCGTGGTATCCAATTGGTAGTTACAGTCTTGTCCCATCGCTGCAACTCCCGTACGGACACGGGAGAGGCGAAGGTCGAGAGTCCTCCGAAACACAACCCAACCGAGCCGCACTGCCTCTTGACACAGTGCCCGCTTAACCTGGAAGCCAGCCGCACCAATGTGTCGGAGGAAACACCGTACACCTGGCGACCTAGTCAGCGTGCACTGCGCCCGGCCCACCACAGGAGTCGCTAGTGCGCGATGGGACAAGAACATCCCTGCCGGCCAAACCCTCCCCTACGCTGGGCCAATTGTGCGCCACCCCATGGGTCTCCCGGTCGTGGCCGGCTGCGACAGAGCCTGGACTCGAACCAGGATCTTTAGTGGCACAGCTAGCACTGCGATGCAGTGCCTTAGACCACTGCGCCACTCGGGAGGCCCCACAAATTAACTTTTAACAAGGACAGATTTGTTAATTGAAGAGTGTGCAAAGCTGTCATCAAGGCAAAGGGTGGCTACTTTGAAGAATCTTAAACATATATTTTGATTTGTTGTTTTTGGTTACTATATGATTCCATATGTGTTATTTCATAGTTTTGATGTCTTCACTATTATTCTACAATGTAGAACATATTAAAAATAAAGAAAACCCCTTGAATGAGTAGGTGTGTCCAAACTTCTGACTGGTATTGTATGTTTGACTATCCATGATTTGAACCTCTTGATTCACCTCCTGATTCCACTCTGTTCCTCTTCACTAGGACGAAGCTGCAACTGCAAAGGAGTTCGTTAAGATCATGGAGGCTGCAGAGAACGACTACCAGGTGTGTGGGATTGGAAAGCTTTGATATGGACACACATGCATACAAAGTAGTTGCTGTAACATTTAGTACACAAGATACTGAAGCATCATAGTTTGCCACTAGTGTGCCCTCAACATTACTAGAATTACTAGTCACATGGCACAAGTTGTTCTTATTCTTTTGTAATGTCAAAACACTGTCTCTGGAAACCGTCACCGTGTGACAATTCCTGTCAATTGTGGTTGTTATTGTGACACCCCAAAGTCCAGATTCATTTCGCTCTCCTCTCTTACCCCGTCAGACTGCCATCAACGAGAATTACCAGACCATGTCGGACACCACCTTCAAAGCCTTGCGCCGCCAGCTTCCCGTGACGCGCACCAAGATCGACTGGAACAAGATCTTGAGCTACAAGATTGGCAAGGAGATGCAGAACGCTTAAAAGCAAACAAAACAGAAAACCCCAACATTGCATGACTGGATTGTTGTATCGTCTTTGTACAAATTAGATTAATGGGGGCAAAAAAAGGTTTGGTCTCAGAAAAAAATGTCAAACATTATTACACTTATTAAGATGTCTACTTTTATGAATGCTTTTATACAGACACTGTTAAAAACATAATCTGTATAATACATAGATGATGATAATCATGATGTTGTTATTATTGGCAAAATAGGACGTGGAGGACGACGTAGTACATAAAGGAGAGGGCGGAGCGTCGTATGCAAAACAACCTGATATAATACGTCTCAATGTATGTGTGCAATATTTATAAATATGGTGGTGAGACCACACCTTTTCTTTGACCCAAAGAAAAACAATTCCAATTGTAATGATGAAACGATTATTTTTTGAAGAGTATCACTGTAAAATAAATTCAGAGTAGGACTTTATTGGCAAATACAGGATAAGAGAATCCTCTACTGTACAACACGGTTACTGTTTCAAATGACATCTTTTGCACAAGCGGTTAGTCACCTTTGCCAACGTCGACCACTCAATGTTCTTCTTGTTACACTTCATATTGGTACTCTCCCCACGGTTTGCCTCATGTGAAAATCTCAAGCTTGCGACCCTCCTGGCTAAACTGCAGTTTAACTCCCTGACTTCTGAACTGAACATTCATTTAGCAAAAAAGGAGAATAACTGATACCTTGACAAGCTTAATTAACAATTAATTGCTACTAAATGTGGATAATGTTGAATTAAATTTACAATAAAAGGTACAAGTATAATTTTCTCCTCCAGTGCTTATTTTGTATTAAAATAGATCTGACTATTATAACATGACACATTGTAATATATATACCTGTATTAAACATCCTTGTCTGACGGTTTGGTGATTTATTTCCTTGATTAATTGTAATTCAGTCAACTGTGTTGCATTAAATGACACATGTTCTATTTACTAACTCCTACTTTGGACCAGTTTTTCACTCTTTTTAATGGAGTTTGAGAATGGCCACGTTCCAGGCTGCCTACAATGCAGATGTGTTGCATAGATTTGTTAGATTCCTGCAATTGATATTGGTTGTCCGCCTGCCACTAACACTAGTAGGCTTGTAACTGCGCGTGCATGGCTAGTTGAACTCTTCATTAAGACAATGCTGAAACATCAAGCCATGGGTGAGTCAGTGCCACATTTTCATTTGTGCAGAAATCACAATGAAAGAAAATATATACAACTGTGGAATAAATTAAGAGACCACTGCACATTTTTCTTAAATCAGCATCTCTACATGTATGACAGCCATTCCATTCCAGTGTCTGTTGAATTCCAACACAGGCACACCTCATTCTACTGAATTAGGTACTGATTAGGTGATCACCTGAACCAAATCTTATTTAACAAGGAAAAGTATAAAAACCACTGCTGTGGTCATCACTATCCTCTTGCAATAGGACCAGCTGGATGGCAAAAACAGTGCTAATAGTACCTCAAAAGTAATATTAATCAAAAAGTAACCATTGACCATGCCAAAATAGTTGAAAAGGAAAGTTTTGAGTGAGGAAAAGAAGGGTTCAATTCTGGCTTTACTGACAGAGGGATACAGTGAGCGTCAGGTTGCTTCCATCCTTAGAATTTCAAAGACGGCGGTTCATAAGAACAAGGTCAAGCAGCAGACATTGGGGACAACAAAGCTACAGACCGGCAGAGGGCGAAAACGACTCTACTGACCGGGATGACCGCCAACTCATTTGAATGTCACTCAACAACCGTAGGATGACATCAAGTGACCTACAAAAAGAATGGCAAACGGCAGCTGGGGTGAAGTGCACGGCGAGGACAGTTCGAAACAGGCTCCTAGGGGCAGGGCTGAAGTTGTGCAAAGCTAGAAAAAAGCCCTTCATCGATGAGAAGCAAAGAAGAGCCAGGCTGAGGTTTGCAAAAGACCATAAGGATTGGACCGTAGAGGACTGGAGTAAGATCATCTTCTCTGATGAGTCCAATTTTCAGCTTTGCCCAACACCTGGTCGTCTAATGGTTAGACGGAGACCTGGAGAGGCCTACAAGCCACAGTGTCTCGCACCCACTGTGAAATTTGGTGGAGGATCGGTGATGATCTGGGGGTGCTTCAGCAAGGCTGGAATCGGGCAGATTTGTCTTTGTGAAGGATGCATGAATCAAGCCACGTACAAGGTTGTCCTGGAAGAAAACTTGCTTCCTTTTGCTCTGACATTGTTCCCCAACTCTGAGGATTGGTTTTTCCGGCAGGACAATGCGCCATGCCACACAGCCAGGTCAATCAAGGTGTGGATGGAGGACCACCAGATCAAGACCCTGTCATGGCCAGCCCAATCTCCAGACCTGAACCCCATTGAAAACATCTGGAATGTGATCAAGAGGAAGATGGATGGTCACAAGCCATCAAACAAAGCCGAGCTGCTTGAATTTCTGCGCCAGGATTGGCATAATGTCACCCAACATCAATGTGAAAGACTGGTGGAGAGCATGCCAAGACGCATGAAAGCTGTGATTGAAAATAATGGTTATTCCACCAAATATTGATTTCTGAACTCTTCCCAAGTTAAAACATTAGTATTGTGTTAATTAAAAATGAACATGAACTTATTTTCTTTGCATTATTCGAGGTCTGACAACACTGCATCTTGTTTGTTATTTTGACCAGTTGTCATTTTCTGCAAATAAATGCTCTACATGACAATATTTTTATTTGGAATTTGGGAGAAATGTTGTCAGTAGTTTATGGAATAAAACAAAAAATTTACCCAAACACATACCTATAAATAGTAAAACCAGAGAAACTGATAATTTTGCAGTGGTCTCTTAATTTTTTCCACAGCTGTATATTGCAAATTCAACGGGCCGGGGTGGGAAATAGGCTTTTAGAAGTTCCGTCTTCATTTTATGAAAACCCATAGAACATGAGAGAAATAGGCTACGGTTTCAATGGCAAATGGATGTCCTAAAATAATTGCCTCCGCATGAACCAAAACAATTATTTGTTATTTCAGGTTGTTTATCAAAGTCGGTTGGCGAACTCATTGGACCTGCTTTGTAGTATACCCCTCTGATATATATCTATTTGGTTCCACAAATGTGGAAGAAGTAGTGTTTACCATTGTACTGTAGGAACCCTATCAATATGACTTGATAATCTGCTCAAAGTGACCGCAATGTATACTGAACAAAAATATAAATGCAACATTCAACAATTTTCAACGATTTTACTGAGTTACAGTTCATCTGAGGAAATCAGTCAATTGAAATAAATTAATTTGGCCCTATACTATGGATTTCACATGACTGGGAATACAGATATGCATCTGTTGGTCACGGATACCTTAAAAGAAATGGTCCTCACAATGGGCCTCAGCATCTCGTCACTGTATTTCTGTGCATTCAAATTGCCATCGATAAAATGCAATTGTGTTCGTTGTCTGTAGTTTATGCATGCCCATACCATAACCCCAATGCCATGGGGCACTCTGTTCACAATGTTGACATCAGGAAATCACTCGCCCACACAACGCCATACACGTGGTCTGCGATTGTGAGGCCGGTCGGACGTACTGCCTAATTCTCTAAAAAGACATTGGAGGTGGCTTATGGTAGAGAAATTAACATTACATTCTCTGGTAACAGCTCTGGTGGACATTCCTGCAGTCAGCATGCCAATTGCACGCTCTCTCAAAACCTGAGACATTTGTGGCATTGTGTTGTGTGACAAAACTGCACATTTTAGAGTGGCCTTTTATTGTCCCCACCTGTGTAATTATGTTTCATCAGCTTCTTGATATGCCACACCTGTCAGGTGGATGGATTATCTTGGCAAAGGAGAAATGCTCATTAACAGGGATGTAAGCAAATGTGTGCACAACATTTGAGAGAAATAAGCTTTTTGTGCATATGGAACATTTCTGGGATCTTTTATTTCAGCTCATGAAACATGGGACCAACACTTTACATGTTGCATTTATATTTGTGTTCAGTGTAGGTAGCCTGGAACGTGGCCTCTGTGTAGGTTTTTTCACTTTACACTTTAATTCAAATCCCTCATATCTAAGTTACATAAATGTGCACATGTTGACCATATGATAGGGAGTAGCCTCCTGTAGCTCAGTTGGTAGAGCATGGTGCTTGCAACGCCAGGGTTGTGGGTTCGATTCCCGCGGGGGGCCAGTATGAAAAATGTATGCACTCACTAACTGTAAATCGCTCTGGATAAGAACGTCTCTTAAATGACTAAAATGTAGATAAAAATAAAATAGACTTTAGTAAATCAGTTTATGTGATGCTAAAAATTCAACAGATGAATTCATAGATAAAGGCTCTAGAGCAAACATACAGACAATATAGTATTTGAGTACAGTATTGAACATAAAACGGGGGATCCCCAAAGCAGCTGGATTCAAGATATGGTACACCTGAAAGATAACTGCTGACTGTGGCACGTATTCCCCCATACTTTATGAGGGGGAGGAGCCCTGACTTCATTCTAAAAGTGTATTTACTCTGAACGCAGTCTGATTTAATTTTCATCATGTCAGGTAATCAGCCGGTGGTATGCATAAAATATACATAAACAATGTATGGTTTTTTGACCAATATTAATACAATTTTAAAAAAATGTGTTTTTGTGTTATCAAATAAATAATGTTTTAATATTTTCAAAGTATTGAACAATAGCTATAAACATTATCATACAGTAAAAACAGGGCATGGTATTATAGTCCCAGAATACACTGAGAATTTTAGAGAACCAGAGTATCATGGTTGAAAATGGGACAGGCTTAGAGCAACTCAAGTCCCCCATCGCCTGGTCTTGGACATACTTCTGGACAGTCTGGTTCTTTGTGATGCTATTTTTGGTTTACATTTTAAGAGTGCCATTGAGATACAGCGACAATCTGACCGAAGGTGAGATAACTCTTGCATCAACGTGTATTTTGAATGACTTCAAAGTTTTATGTACTTG